GTGAGGATATTGATGTACAACAAGAAGATAGTCTTCATGACAATGGAACACAAGAGATGGAAGCATTGAGAAATAGGATTGCTACAAGTTTAATGAATGCATCTAATTAGCTTCTTTTATATTGTAGTGATCTATTTGGGCATGTTGAAATTGAACAAGTTTTGTATATTCGTTATGCTAACCCTCTCTGAAGCCCTCAAAACACATTGTTATTATTAATATAACAATATTTATAACTACTTTTGTTACAATATTGATTTATAATTTATGGTAATATATGTGTGCTAAATGTAGATTACAATTTTTGATACAAACAATGTGTAAATTAAATAAAGAAAAAAAAATTATGTAGTGAAGTTTGTTTTCTTTTTTTTTAAGTAGAAAAAGAATGAAGAAAAAAACAAACAATTTCATCATCATGCCCTTTTCGGTCATTATACATACTAAAAGCACTTCTGATAAAATTTTACCAAACCCTTCGACTACTCACAGCAGTTTTTCAAATATAGTTTACCAAACGCCTAACTGCTTTTTTTCACAGCTGATTATTTTCGCAGCACAGCAGAAGCAGTTTTTTTTAAAAGCACAGCAATGCCAAACTAGCCCTAAATATGTTTTTATGATTACCCCAAAATGGTTTTTTTAATCTAAACGATATTTTACTTTAATATAATCTACACTACGAGGAAGAAAATTCAAACTCAGGTGGAGAACACATCCGCTCTAGCTAACTTGACTAACCTCGTATTTGCGCGCCCCAATATGTTTTTGTATAATGAAAAAATATATATTTGTTCAACTCCTACATAAATCAAACATAAACAGCTTCCTCAACGTTACCAAACATGAGGGAGGAGTCTCCATTTCTCATCCATTTGGAAAATAAATGAGAGTGAATTTCTTTCAGCGATCCAAATGCAGCCGTAGAAAATATAAGTTTAAAAAGGAACAAAAAAATAAAACCGATAAGGTTCATTTCTCCATTTTTTTAATAAACAATTCATATCCCCATTCTCTCCCTTAAAAGGGGGAAAAAACAAATTAACGAACGGCTTCACATTGTGACAGTTCACACATTATTACTGCGAGAGGCGGTCATGACACACGAGTCCTGCAGAATGCAGAATATTGATACAATTTTGTTACAAGAAGACGTAGCAGAATACTGCATAATGCGGCATAACCCAACGAAAACATACAGACAGATCACAGATGATTTACAGTATCCAAACTACAACACACAGAAGTTACCTAGGAAAAATCCAACAAGAACTATCCCAAGATTATTCACTTCGGAAAATCTGACCATATACAAAACATCACAGGTTCCTCCTATACATGCAGACTATCCTAAAACTGCTTCATCTTTGCAGCAAAAAAGCGGTAGAAAAACTATGCATCACAGTTTAGATAACGACCCTTGGACTAGCTTTTTCCGGTCTGAAGAGAGATGATCAAGCAGCACTCAAGCAGTTCTCCCATGTCCCATACTTTGAGCTAAAACTGCCTCCGCCACTCTGCTGCGCATGCTCGGAAATAACTGCATATGCACAAACATCCCAGGTCCTTGCTATCTCCCCAAGGGACATGGGTTGTGAAATACTTCGTAGAGATATGCTAAACCTTGACTTTGCCCTCACAGATAGATCTTCATACTCCTTACTGCCAAAGCAGAACAGTAAAGTCAAAAGAGAACTGAAAATAAATAAAGAGATTCTTTGTTTGACCATTACAGCGCCACATACTGTCACCGACACAAACTGAGGAATAGATTCTTTGTTTGATCATTACGGCATGTTAAGTTTGAAATAGGATTTCACCAGAATGGGGGTAAATACGAAAGGACATAAGCCCATATGGCTGAGAATTCTCAATAAGAAATGCTACATCTCTTAGTTTATGTAACAGCAGCAGCAGCAGATGTAAAGGCAGAGTGCCTATCCTCACCTGACTTCAACTGGAAACTTGTCCAAGAGTATTGGAGAGCAGTTGGGATAATTGCTGGGAACAAGCAGTCTTAATGGCTGAATTGGTGACTGCACCATATTAAAGGCAGGTAAATACGAAATATAAATATCTTGAAGACAGGTAAGAAGTCATTGCATTAACGTTTGAGAGCCCACCATCTGTGCTGAAGCATACTGCGATTTCAAGTTCGGACCGAAAGCCACAGCATCAAAAAAGCATTTGAAAATGATTCCTTTACCCCCATCGGCAGCAGATGCACTAGGGTCATCATCTTCATCACTGATATCAACAACTGTGTTGATCAACCGCTGCCTTATTTCTCTTATTTCTTCCAAAAGAGCATGATTAGCCTGCAAGATAAACCACAAAATTATGTCCAATGAAGAAGCAGGAATAAGCCTTTTGACCAGAAATTGAAATACTTTGAGACGGGGAACTGTTTAAACAAATAACATTGAGTTAAGACCAGCAATAAACGATATGTGTTCAGGTTGGTTCAGAAATTTCTTAGTCCAGTAAGGAATCTCTCATTATGCCCTCAAATACCCTCAAATGCACTTTTTAATTTTTTCCCAAACACAAACAATCACTTCATTCAACAAAAGTTTCTTTTTTCCTCTAATCTATAAGCAATGTAACTTCTTTACAGTGGACTCACACAGAGGCAAGTGCCTCACTCAGAATGTGCCAAAGCACTCCAGGCACACAAGAAGCATCTGCATATAGGTGTGCAGGAAAGCATAGCTTTGCAGTCTTGCTGGAAATTTCATTTCATGACGTAATATCCCTTTTTAATATTTTAAGTGTGCCCAATCAAAGCTTTTACAACTGCAACAGCTGTCATTTCTAAAAGCATATACCAAAAAAAGGATTAATACCTCAATCCTAGGCCTCTTGATACGATATGTTGCAGTTGACTCCAGGTCAGATGTCTCTGAACTAGCCAACTGCCTGAAACTATCATTGCCAGCTGATGGCACAACATTTAAGGGCACGGCACTAGTGAAGCGCCTCATTTTCCTAGACCCATTTGTTCCATCACGAGTCAAAACATTCCTTCCTTGCAGACAACACTTTGTCATGGTAATCAAATCCTCACCACTAGATCCCTTGCCTGGTGCTGACCCTGCTATCCTATCACTCATACTCACTACTGAGCCAATGTCACTGACTGAGGCACTCAATGCATTTGAAGATATCGATTTCACCTGAAAGTTCAAATTACATAAATTTTATGTCAAATACAGTTGAAGGAATTTGAGGAAAACAAGAACTTAGAAAGTACTTACTGATAAAACATTTCAAGCACTCCGCGAGAGAGAGAGAGAGAGAGAGAGAGAGAGAGAGAGAGAGAGAGAGAGGTAAACGAATCAGCTTTACTAACCGCTTTAATCAACTGTTCAAGAGGCTGCTTGGTAACATTTGACTTGCCAGAAATAGTTGACAAAGCATTAACATGAGTACTGTCTGGTACTAAATTCAGCAAGCAAAGGAGAGGCTGATATCCCAGGGGTGCCAATGGCAAGGGACTGGATCTGTGATCCGACACCAGTTGCTTGTAGATGCCCAATCTTCTCAGCATTTGAGAGTGAGGAGGGTTTCTCAGAATCCCCTGGCATGGAGGATGGAGCCATCGGAGTTGAAGGAGATGAGATGACAAATGGGGAACTAGAGGTTCCAGCTTTTGTGTGAGCCAGTAGATTCTGCTGGTCATTTTGGGGTGAAGAATGTTGCGAAATTTTAGGGGATGCAGCCTGAAGGAATTGGGTTGTTGATGAAATAGGAAATGGAGATCCAGATTTCAATTGCTGATGGGAAAAAGCATGCTGGCCTGCAGCTCGTCTCATCTTTAACTCATTTACATAATTGATTTGCTGCTCCTGCTGTTGTTTTATATGCTGTTGTTGAAGCATACCAGAATTTGACTGAATGGAATTCATGTTTGCCTGTAGCACATTAACCCCACTCTCTGATGACAAGGCATTCATATTCGCTTGTTGGGGAGCACTGACAGGAGTTTGTTGGTTGCTGCCCACAGGAACCTGCTGCAATGAGTTCAGTGCATTTCCTTGCCCTGAATCCATGTTGGAACTAAGCTGCAATGAATTCATCATGTTCTGATGTGCTGTTGAAAACCCCGATCAAGAAGACACAGGATTTTGCTCCAATCTTGTCATATTATTCTGCTGCATTGTTGCCACAGAACCTTGTATGTCAATTGATTGCAACTGTGGGTTCATTTGATTTTCATGAGGCTGCACTTGAGTAATTTGAGTTTGTGACTGCTGCATGGAGTGCATGTGAGGTGAGGAAAACTTTTAAAACCCCAAATAAATTGTATAATAAGAAAGAAACAGAGAACCAATATTATAAAAACAAAAAAACAAAAAAAATAAAAAATTTGTGGCTGCCACAGCTGGGAAAGCCATGCAAGCCAGAAATCTTTTGTTTTGTCGATAAAAGTTTTCTGGTGTTGGGGTTAAAGGAGGGGGAAGGGCACAAGAACAGTTTCGGAATATTGGTAGATGACACAAGTAGATTAAGATTTTTAAAATTGTGTGGCAGTATGGGTGGAGAAATAGGAAAAGGGTGGCCACAAAGCCACTCTTTTTTTTCACGTGGAATGCATTAATCCTTCATGACACTGTCATGCAGCACTAATATTATTTCATGCAATAACAATCAGGTAGAACTGGACTAAAGAGTATTTTTCATAAAATTTAGCTTCGTTTCTCTATATCACATGAGAACAGCAATTTCTTCTGAACAATGCAATCCTAGGTTATATTACCTGTATGTATGCCGTGTTTTCTATTATAATAGTAAACATTTGTTTTTTGATATATATATTTCCAATATCATTATTATTACGTTCTGTTGTTACAGAAGCTAATTACATTCCCTATGAATCCTGTATACAATACCTTCTTTTTCTTTTTCGAAAAGGATAAATAATCCCTACACATATAGCAAAACTCCTGTAACCAAAAAAAGAAGCCAACCCACCCAAAATTGCACCTTTCTTTCTAATCTTATATCCTATGTGAATACCCTTGAATGGAAAACAAGTCAGGACATCTTACTTTTTGATAGACCACCTCTTGCCAATCACCCCTAGTTGCGTGTCCAGTCTGGGCTGTGGAATCTGGAGATGCAATGCAGAAAAATGTGTCAATGTAACCACATAAGATTGTACAAAATTTGATTATGAGGGTTATAATTTTGAAAAAGCGTTGCCTGCAGAAGCGGTAAGAAAAATGGAAAACTATCCTGCCCAAAACAGTTAAAGATGTGTTTTTCGTAAAATAGAATGAAAATATCATTCCCTACAGCATTAGCAGTCTAAGAACATACTAGAAGCTTCATGAGCTGAAGCGGAACAGGAATACATATGCAGTAAATTGTAGATACATTGATGGGCAACTACATTTACTAAACACAGTAGCATAACCATAAGGCTCCACCCAAAACCCTTTATCTATAAACCAATTGAAGCAAACCTGAAGAAATAAAAAGTTATATTTTCAAAACTAAAAGGGAAGAAAGACATTTCAGATGAGATTTCACAATTACCTTTTACCAAAGAAAAAGAAACTTATAGAGTTGAATATCAAGAGAAAAGGCGTTAACAATATCTAAAAACATTTGTTGACCAAAAAAAATAAATATCTAAAAGCATTTTCTCTACCACCATACGTCATGAAAAAACTAAGACATCAATCAAATCACAGACATAATATCTCAACTTTTAAAATAGCCGAGCGGATATATATATATATATATGCTGGGATCTTTTTTTCTTTTAAATTTTTTTCCCAATTTTATTTTATCAATAAGAGTAGTTTAGAGCATTATCCATTACTATTAGGCCATTACCCGACTATCTATTGTCCCATTTTGATTTTTTACATTTCTTACTTGTTGTAACAAAAATCCAAGATGGTGATTTTGCAATCTCTTTGACAAGTAGAACAACAATTTCAAACAAAGATTTATGGGAATAGAAGTAAGAGAGGTGGTAATATTCTTAATGTAAAGTGTTTGAAAAATGAAGCAATTACCAAAAACACTCCAACTTAGCATGCAATTCTCTATGATTAAAAAATGTGTAGAGTAACCAAATTTAGCAGCACTGGAGAGAACGAGGTCAATCAAAGGCAAACATTCCCACACCAAAAACAAAAAATTGAACTCTCATATTGATTTAGTATGAAATTTATGTCTCTTCAATATCAAATTAGGAAATGTTGAAACTAGCAAAGTAATAACTATAAAGTATAAACTAATGCAACAAGGTGGGTCCTTTTTTTATTTTTTATTAAATAGTATAGCTGCGCGGCTATACCTTTTAAATATAATGTATTCAACGAGTATAGTCACCCGGCTATACTACAGTTTTGTTTTAAAAATAGTATAGCTGATCGGCTAGACTGTTTTTGACACGTGGGCACCTACTCGCTAGGTTGGTCCTCGTTTTGTTTTGTTTTTTAAAAATAGTTTAGCCCCGTGGCTATACTCGGTTTTTAAATTTAAAAAAAAAAATTAGTGTAGCCGCACAACTATAATGTTTCTAACACATGGGGGCCTAATCGCTAGGCGGGTCTTTGTTTTACATAAATGGTATAGCCGCGCATCAATATGTGGTGTTTTTTCATTTTTTGAAAAATAGGATAGCCGCGCGGCGTTGCTTGGCACTTTTAAAAAAAATGTTTTTAAATAAATAGTATAATTATATGGCTTAAATGTAAAAATGGTCTCTCTGTTTTATCGTGTTAGTCAATTTAGTACATGTGTTTTTAATTTGGCAAATTTGGTCCATGTGTTCAGTGTTTAGTACCGATAGTCAATATGGTCAAATTTGTTAATTTTCTGTTAAAAAGTTTTAAAAAACTAATATAATAATTGGATTGAATTGAAATTTTTTTTTTTTAATAAAAGAGATCCAGAAACAAAAAGAATAAAAATTAAAAAAAACAAGACACCACCCATCCAATCTCAGCTACTTCCTTTTGTCTCTCAACAATTTGAGGTACTTCTCTCTTTGCAGGATGCATCCAACTCACCTATTTGCATATCAATCTCTCCAGGCCTCTTTTGCTCAAGTGGATTCTCAATTGGGTTCTTTGAAAGAATTTTCAATCTTGGTTTGCTATGGGGAAGGTTTTAAACAAGTTGTTGATGCCAGTACAGAATATGGATTCTGTGCAGATGAGGATTCTGATGCAAAATTGGGTTTGGAAATTTTTGTTTATCTGGAATTGGAGCTGGTGATTGGGGCTTGGGTTGGCTTTGGAGAAGATGTAGAAAGATTAAGAAATTGTGAGAAGGGATTGGCGATGGAGGTCTTTTTCGTCCTTTGATATGTTTTAATGAAGTCTTAATATTTTTAAGTTAATTCAATTTTTTTTATAATTAATTTCAAAATGTTTTTAGGATTTTTTTTTTTTTAAAAAAACGCTTATAATATAATTTAATGGTAAAATAACGGATTGGACCAAATTGGCTAACGGTACTAAACACGGAGATTAAATTGGCCAAATTAAAAACACATGGACTAAATTGGCCACCACGATAAAACACAGGGACCATTTTAACATTTAAGTCTATATATATATATATATATATATATATATATATATATATATATATATGCTGGGATCCTGTTTTTCTTTTAAATTTTTTTTCCCGCTTTTCTTTTATCAATAAGAGTAGTTTAAAGCATTATCCATTATCCACAATAGTCTCCCTAAACCACATACTTAGTGCCCGTTTGGCATTGTTTATTTGGGGTGATAAGTGATTTTTTAAAATTTTTGAGAAGTCCAGCCCGTTTGGTAAACTGTGAGAAAATCACTTATTGTTAAAAATTGCTGTGAGAGAAAGCTATAAGGGAAAGCAGCTAATGAGGTGCTTTCATTTTCTGATTATGCAGGAATCAGTTTTGAAGAGGCTCTGGGTTTAATGATTATGCCACAATCATTTTCTAATTATAAGGAAATCAATACCAACAACACTTTCAACAAAAAAATTTACCAAATGCCAAACTGCTTTCTCTCACAGCTGATTTCTCTCACAGCAAATCTGACAGCGATTATTTTCACAGCACAGCAATACCAAACTGGCCCTTATACAAATTTTAGGGAGGAATTGAAAAAATACAACTGCAACCATACTCCCTATCCACCTCCTAAAATAGGGAGACCTCTAGGAGCTGCTAAATCTAAAGAGAGAGAAAGGACTCCTAGTGACTCCCTATAATTTAATGTTGCTTTGTTTTATGCATATTTTGAACTTTTAATTAATGCAAACTATTTTTTTTTTTTATATATATAGAGATGGATCAATTATATTGAATTCAAAATAATTATAGTATTTATGACTCTCTAAACTAAGGAGTATGATTGGAGTTCAAATTTTTTAGAGAGCTCCTAAAATAGCTTTTGTGTATTTTTAACTAAATTTTAACTAAAAAATAGTGAGCATGATTGTAAATGCTCTTAAACATAAACATACTTCTCTATAGAGAGCCTGTGCAACTGACATTGCATTGCATCTTTTTGCTGATTCAAATAGAAGAGGTGTTCCAAATTTTGTTATCAAGTGCTACACCGACTCCGAAACATCCTCTGCCCACCCCAGCACATATGTACCCGGCCCCGACCCCGGCCCCAAGCCCGGACAGATCGGATAGGGTCCATCGGATAGGGTCCATCCGATCTGACCACAAGAAGGTCCTCACTCAGATGAAATTCTTCTTATTTCTCCAGGGATATCCACCTTATAGAACCACCAGGGGAAGGGGATGGGAATATTGATACAATTTGTCACAAACAGACAGCAGCCTACTGCATATAATGGGGCATTTTCAACCCAACGAAACATACAGACAGATCGCAGATGATTTACAGTATCCACACTACAACACACGTATGTTACCTAGGATGAATCCAACAAGAACAACCCCAACATTATTCACTTCGGAAAATCTGGCCATATACAAAACATCACAAGTTCCTCCTATACATGCCTTACCTATAGACTATCCAAAAACTGCTTCATCATTGCAGCAAAACAGCAGTAGATAAATTATGCATCACGGTTATCATAACAACCCTTGGAATAGCTTTTTTCAGGTCTGAAGAAAGATTATCAAGCAGCACTCAAGCAGTTCTCCCATGTCCCATACTTTGAGCTAAAACTACCTCCACCACTCTGCTGCGCATGCTCGGAAATAACTGCACGTGCACAAACATCCCAAGTCCTTGCTATCTCCCCAAGGGACATGGGTTGTGAAATGCTTCGTAGAGAGATGCTAAACTTTGACTTTGCCTTTACAGAAAGATCTTCATACTCCTTACTGTCAAAGCAAAACATTAAAGTCAAATTTGTGCTGAGAATTCTCAGTAAGAAATGCCACATCTCTTAGTTTATGTAACAGCAGCAGCAGTATGTAAAGTTGGATTTCTTATTTCCTCACCTGACTTCAACTGGAAACTTGTCCAAGAGTATTGGGGAGCAGTTGGGATAATTCATGGGAACAAGCAGTCTTAATGGCTGAATCGGTGACTGCACCATATTAAAGACAAGTAAATACAAGATATATCAATATTATGAACACAGGTAACAAGTCATTAAATTCACGTTTGAGAGCCCACCATTTGTGCTGACGCGTACTGCGATTTCAAGTTTGGACTGAGAGCCACAGCATCAAACGAGCACTTGACAATGGTTCCCTCACCCCCTTCAGCAGCGGCTGCACTAGGATCAACATCCTCATCGCTGATATCAACAACTGTGTCGATAAGCCGCCGATTTATTTCTCTTATTTCTTCCAAAAGAGCATGATTAGCCTGCAAGATAAGCCACATAATTAATTATGTCCACTGAAGAAGCAGGATTAAGGTTGGTTCCGCAATTTCCTGATCCAATAATGAATCTCTCTCACCCCAGAGAGGAAAAAAAGAAGAGAACATTATTCCCTCAAATGTCCCCCCCTTTTTTTTTCTTAAGCACAATAACTTTATTCCCAAAAAGTTGCTTTTTTTCTATAATCTAACAACAATGCAGCACCTTAAACAGTGGACTCACAGTTAACATCTACTGCCCATCTTTATAATATAAAAATATAATAAAAGTATTCCAAAGAGGCAAATGCCTCATCTCAAAATGTGCGATGGCAGGCAACTAGTTTTCATTGCTAATTAGTATATACCACAACAAAAGTTTAATACCTCAATCCTTGGCCTCTTGATACGAGATGTTGCAGTTGACTCCAGATCAGATGTCTCTGAACTGGTCAACTGCTTAAAACTATCATTCATGCTGCCAGCTGATGACACAACATTTAAGGGCACGGCACTAGTGTAGCGCCTCATTTTCCTAGTTCCATTTGTTCCATCATGCGTCATAACATTTCTTGCTTGCAGACGACACTTTGTCATGGCAACCAAATCCTCACCAACTGCAGCTCTAGATCCATTACCTGGTGCTGACCCTGCTATCCTATCAATCATACTGACTACGGAGCCAATGTCACTGACAGAGGCACTTAATGCATTTGGTGACATCGATTTCACCTGAAAGATACAATTACAGAAATTTTATCCAACCAAAGGGATTTGATGAAAACAAGAACTTAGAACGTATGTTCTGAAACATCATTTTAACCACTCCGAGAGAATCAGCTTTACTAACCGCTTTAATTAAGCGTTCAAGAGGCTGCTCTGTAACACTCGACTTGCCAGAAATAGTTGACAAAGCATTAACATGAGTATCTGGTACGCTAAATTCAGCAAGCAAAGGAGAGGCTGATATCCCAGGGGTGCCAATGGCAAGGGACTGGACCTGTGCTCCGACACCAGTTGTTTGTTGATGTCCGACATTCCCAGCATTTGAGAGTGAGGAAGGTTTCTCAGAATCCCCTGGCATAGGGGACGGGGCCATGGGAGTTGATGGAGACGGGATGACAAAAGGTGAACTAGCAGTTTGCAATGGGGTTCCGGCTTTTGGGTGAGTCAGTAAATTTTGCTGGTCAACTTGGGGAGAAGAATGCTGCGAAATTTGTGGAGATGCAGCCTGAAGGAGTTGGTTTGTAGGAAATGGAGATCCTGATTTCAACTGCGGATGAGGATAAGCACGCTGGCCTGCAGAGAGATGTTGCTGAAAAACCCCTGGCTTTACACCCATCCCCTGTCTCATCTTCAAGTCATTTACATCATTCATTTGATGAAGCTGTGGCATTTGCTGTTGGTGCGCCTGCAACTGTGCTGGAAGCTGCTGCTTTGCTTGCAGTTGTAACTGCTGCTGCTGCTGCTGCTGCTGCTGCTGCTGTTGATGTTGCAGTAACTGCTGCTTCTGCATCAATTGCTGCTGCATCTGTCGTTGTTGAAATTGTTGCTTGAGTTGATTCTGAAACATTTGATGTTCCTGCTGTTGTTTCAAATGCTGGTGTTGAAGCATACCAGAATTTGGCTGAATGGAATTCATGTTCGCCTGTAGCATATTAACCCCACTCTGTGATGACAAGGCATTCAAATTTGCTTGTTGGGGAGCACTGACAGGAGTTTGTTGGTTACTTCCCACAGGAACCTGCTGCAATGAGTTCAGTGCATTTCCTTGTCCTGAATCCATGTTGGAACTAGGTGGCAATGAATTCATCATGTTCTGCTGTGCTGTTGAAACCCCAGATAAAGCCGACATAGAACTTTGCTGCAAGCTCGTCATATTGCTCTGCTGCATTGTGGCCACAGAACCTTGCAAGTTCATTGATTGCAACTGTGGGTTCATTTGATTTTCATGAGATTGCACTTGAGTAATTTGAGATTGTGACTGCTGCATGGAGTGCATATGGGGTGGGGGGAGCTGCCCTTGCTGCAGAGAAGAAACTGGCTTCCTAGGTCTATTTGTATTAATAAAATTTACTATCTGCTTTTCGTATAAAAGCAACTTGTCCTTCAAACCAGGTGAAATGCTACTTTTGGAAATCTGTAAGACTGATATGAGGCGCTCTAAAATGGTCCTGAACATTTTCAGTTTTTCAAGCTGCTCTGATTTTGGTTGTTGTGGAAGAGAATCAAGCTGGCAAACAGAGAGAACAACATATATGATGAGTATGCAAAAAAACAACCAATATTAGAAGTAACAAGATTTTGTAGCAAATAATATTATTGGCTTTGTAACTGAAAAAGGTAAAATATTATTGGCTTTGTTGGTGGGGTAACAGTCCCATGTAGACAGTATACATGGCTGGAATAAGTAAAAGGTAGATCCAGTTGGAGGGATCTATCATCGACCATCACCAAAATATCCTTGAAGAGAAAGGCTGCTCAATGGTAAACGTTGAGCAACACATAGTATAGGGAAAAAAAATGAAGTGATTACAAACCTGCTGAAGTTTAGTAGCAATTTTCTGATACATTTCACTTAGTTCGGGTAAGTACATCTCCTTCATGCCTTTGATCTGCAAAAATCGAGTCAGAAAGGCAAAGATGATTAGAAAGGACTTTGTTGTAGCTACATACTTGCAGATACCATAATATCACCAGATTTCTTTGTTTCGTAGTAGCTCATGCATCTATAAGTTTTCCTGTCCAATGCTTCAAAATACAGTGCCAACGGAAAAGAGCTCATGCATGCAACAATGAATTTGGAAAGTATGACTTCATGCATGCTTGTACATAAGGTATGGACAGTTCAGATAGAGCCTGAATACGATCCCTACCAAGACAGCCAAACCTACCCTTACTTCCTTTTTAAAAATATAGTAATATGTGAATGTAATCTTCTTTCTACTGAAAATAATAGAAAATTTGATTTTCTACCCATACACAATGTATATGTATTCCTACTGATATTTACTGTTATCCCAGCAAACCCTGCCATCAATTCCCTTTTCAATCCTATATCACATGTGAACGCCATTTTCCTGAAAAGTGTATTCCTAAGTTATATTACCTGCTATGCCCTTTTTTCTATACTAAACCATGCAATTTTATATATTCCTATATGATCACCAGTATCTACCCTTGTTACAGCAGTTAATTATATTCCCCACAAATCCTGTATATAATCCCTACACAAATAGCCAAACCCCAAATTGCGCCTTCTCTTTCTTTCTAATCTTATATCCAACTTGAATGCCATTTAATGGACAACAAGTCAGGGCATCTTACTTTTTGAAAGACCTCCTCTTGCCAATCACCCCCAGTTGCATGTCCAGTCTGGGCAGTGGAATCTAGAGATGCTACAAAATATACAGAAATATATGTCAGATATTTGAACATAGACGGTTATGATTGAGAAAAATCATTGCCTGCGGAACATTGATAAAGAAAAATGGAAAACTATCCTGTCCAAAATAGTTTAAAATGTATGTTTGTAAAATAAAATTAAAAATATCATTTCATTACATGAGCAGTCTAAGGACACAGTAGAAGCTTCATGAGCTAAAGTGGAACAGGTCTATGCACGCACTAGATTGTGGACAATCCATGGCAACTATATTTAATAAACAAAGTAGCAAAATAATAAGGCTCCACAAAAAAAACTCTTCATCTATAAACCAATTGAAGCAAGATTCATGAATTAAAAACCATATTTTTAAAACCAAAGGGATGAAAGACACTTCAGATAAGATTTTGCTCCTAATTTCTGCTTATGAGGAAAAGTTTCACATTTACTTTTTGCCAAATAAATGGAAACGTTTGGAAAAGAGGTTAACAAAATGTAAGAACATTTTCTCTAACACCGTAAGTCAAGAAAAAACAAAGATGCAAAACCTGAAGTGAAAGGAAACAAAAGCTTCAGCTTTCATCAGTAAAGTCAAAGATATAAAATCTCCAAGCAACTTTGATTATAAACAAGAAGCACCCGAGTTGAAAGGTAAACTTATGGGACTCAAGGTGGTCTATATGCCTATTTTAGGAGTAGACGCAAAACTAGTAACAAGGATATTTGCATAGAATCTATTCTGTTAGTAGGTTTACTATTTCCTTATCCTTGTGGATTATTTCCTTTTCTTTTTCTTTTTGAATAGAAACTTCATAAATTCAAAGAGATAAACAAAGAAACAAGCAAGTGGATAAGGAATTCACAAGGGCAAAACAAAAGAAAACAGCAATCTCAAGACCAAAACAAACAAAGGAAAAGAGGACAAAAGCAAACAAAAAGGCCACCCAGGAAAAAAGAAAAGAGCAACACATCACTTCACAACTGCTACAAATCTCGCATAATAGAAGAGACAGCCAAATCCTTAAAAACAGGAGTAACCGAAGCCCATAAAGCCTATTTCCTATATAACCAGGTCAACTCTATAATTGAGCCTTAGTTCCGCCTATTGATATTGAGAATACAAGAATAAAGCTGAAATTTTATCTTGAATTTGGTATTTGGCTTCGTTTATCTTTCCTCCAGTGTGCTGCATCCTATATTAGTCAACGCCCTCAATTACTTTCATATAAACTTAATCCACACTGAGCATCTAATTAGCAAACACAATTCACAAAATTTTATGTCCACTAGATATTGCGAATTAACCTTTTAAAAAATGTAAACTTGACATGGCTTGTTTTAGCTCTATCTTTTAATATAAGTGGACATTTTGCATAGGAAAAGACATAATATGTGGTTTAACAATATAGAGTACACAACCAGGGATAAACGTGTTTGACAGATAAAGGATGATGCACCTATTTAACAGGATTGTATACACTACTCTACTGTGTGTTTGTATTGTGCTTCAGTGATGGTCACAGCAACAATCAGTAAACTATCTAAGTTTTGAAACTATAAAAGTATAAAGGTGGAGTGCACCTACTTGGCATGACAGCCGGCACAAACATTCTGTTGACTAAGTCCATTGTGCATCCATGTATATTTTAATAAAAGAAGTCACATACGAGAAGATAACATTCCAAAGTTTGATTATTTTCATGGAATCTAGACCCATACATTGAGCAGGCATAACAAAATATATTTCTCCAGAAGTCATCCAAAAAAAGTGTAGCACCACAAAAGCAAACATACAAATAAGAAGCCTGTTTGCATCACAAAACCAGCTAAATCTCATAAAAGTGACAGCGTTGACCCATAATGCAACCTGATAAAAAGGCCCAAATGAAAAGTAAAATTCTGTCCAAAACATGCATCTATGATAATCTAAATAACATGAAAGCACATGCATAAGAAAAGCAACAATTACAAGTGTTGTAAACTACATAATTGCAAAAAACATACTCGATGATGTCTCAGGAAGGGGTCTTTGAGATTGATATAACTGCTTTTGCTGATCCATTACGTTTTGCGGTTGAAGCATGGTTCCAGGAACCTGACCTGATGCTTGAAGTCTTTGCTGCATATCTCGTTGCAGTGGATTTGACTGCTGTTGCAAACCCAATTGCTGCATCTGTGTAGGCTGTGACTGAATCTGTGACAACAATTGTTGCTGTGATGCCTGAGGTTGTGACTGCTGTCCTTGAGTGGGTAACAAGTTAGATGAACTCTGATGTTGTTGTTGTTGCTGCCCTTGAACCTTGGTTTGTTGCAACAAGTGTACAGAGTGCTGATTAGTTTGCATGCTTGAGTTACCACTTTGAGTTCCAAGGTGCTGCTGTTGCTGTAACCCAGTAACATTACTCTGAGGGCCCAACTGTGGCTGATGCATATTTGAAAGGTTGCTTTGCTGAGCCATTAACTGCTGCTGCTGTTGTTGCTGCTGCTGCTGCTGCTGCTGCTGTTGCTGCTGTTGTTGAAGGTTTAAAATGTTATTCTGCTGGCTCAGTAACCTCTGTTGTTGCTGTTGCTGTTGCTGCTGCATATCTCCAACATTGTTTTGTTGTCCGATTAGCTGATTCTGCGACAAGTTCGTAGCATTTGGCTGTTGCACCATAAGCTGCTGCTGTTGCTGCTGCTGTGGGGGTAATATTGGCTGTTGTGGCATTGATGTTTGCTGTTGGTGAACAACAGAGGCCTGTTGTTGTTGAGGCTGTCTGAGAACAGACTGTGGATGCTGCTGAAGCATAGATGGTGTTGACTGTTGAATTGCAGATTGTTGATTCTGCTGAAGACTAGAGAGAGATGATTGCACCACAGAAGGTTGAATAACAGATGATGTTTGCATAACAGGTTGCTGAGAAGACTGCAACTGAGTTGGTTGTAATAGGTTCGGCTGCTGTTGCTGCTGTTGCTGCTGTTGCTGCTGTTGGACAAGTTGTGGGATATTTCCCTGCTGATATTTGGGCTTCAAAAGCTGATGTTGCAACTGTTGATGGTACATATACTGCTGGGAATTCTGGGATTGCTGCTGCTGCTGCTGCTGTTGTGGAACTACCTGTTGCCTTCCTGGCAATTGCCTTTGAGAAGTAGCAAACATATTGGAGGGTACCCCCTGGCCCATGGAGTTCCCTAATGAATTCTGTGAAGTTCCAGACATATTCTGCATGTTTTGATTTTGCCCAACAATACTTGGAATAGGAGTCTGGGTTAAACCGGACGAAGGAGGTAGAGCAGATGATAAGCCAGCAGAACTTTGAACTCCAGCAGCTGGAATGTTATTCTGAATGTTCTGTGATAAGAGTTGTTGACGTGCCTGAGATTGATTAGCTGACAACGGCATAGAGAGTGATTGCCCTTGATTGGGGACTTGGGGTTGCATACCAAAAGACCCTACTCATGTAAAATAGAAAGAATAAACACCAAATAAACATTTCCAAATAGATAAAAAAGTAAAAAAAATTAAGGAAAAAGATATAGCAACCAGATTCCAGTCTTGAAATTTCACCATACAAGCCAACAGATATCAACAATGAATCTTCTCAGGTAAGAAATGTAGGAATAAGGAAACGATACAGTTTTTCAAGCAATTAACCATCAAGAAGAAAGCTACGTATAAAATAGAATAACAACCCACCCTCCATTTCATAAAGCATTTATGCTGGGAGAAGAAAGTAGTAGTTCACAGAGTAACTGAAAGTTGTATAGGTGCATGAAATGGGAACACAGTTTCCATAGTTGTTTTTACCTGGATCAGGGGGCCTGTTGCTATTACCAGCAGAGTTGGATTGTAAAGAATTGGCCATTGTGTTCTGAGACTTGGTCTCCATTGTTAGCATCTTCAGACTAATCTTCCGTAGGTAATCTGACTGTAAAAAGAAACCCATGCTAAACTTAGACTACATTGCTATCCAAAATACAAAGAAAGCTGAAACACAGACCATGTTTATTTAAGAAATTACATATGTATAGATCAGTACATATCTAAGTAGAGTTACTTGTCATATACTAAGAAAAATTAGGACCCAAGAGTTATTGAAGTACCTGGCTTGTGGCAGCAGTATAAATCTTTTCCTCAAACCTTACAGCAATTTTCTTGAGCTCCTGTAATCCCTCATGACCAGAGAAAGGGAGATGCCTCTTCAATGTATCCATTCTTCACATGCCATACATTTAAAATAAGTTACTAACAACGAAAGTGAACTCGGGATAACTAATTCAATCCACTAAGCTTTTTTCTTTCAAAAGAAACACATACATCTTGTTTACAATTCTTTGCCTTGAATCTGGCTGCAGTTGACTCCTCCAATCGCCTGCATCCATGGGGGCCTCTCCAACTTGAGGAGGCCTCCAATTATTGGTATCCATCAAATCCAAGGAACCCAACAAACTGTCAAACAAAAGAGAACAAAATATTGAGCAACTTCAATGAAAACCCACGAAAAGGGCAAAAAATTTGTACAAAACATGCTAAACTTAAACGATGATAAAGTTTCCAAATATTAAATCTTTTTTGTGTCCGAAAATGGATCCACTTAAGCTGATTTTAAACATGATTTTGTCATGAAATTCTCCAATATACAATCCCTGAATTCACATATGCAAAACCAAAGCTTACAACTCACATACAATCGAAAACTCAATACGATTTTCGACAATCAGAGGAACAAAAAAACACCAACAATGAAATTTACACCAAACCCCTAATCTGTTTCTATCGAAAAGAAGAAAAAAAAAATCCAACAAAATTGAAAAAAAAAAAAATTACCGTTTCTTTATGAAGATTGAAAAGTCTAGGCAGCTCGAAGCGTAAGAATTTGGGAGATGAAAGAAAAATTGCCGAATTCGGAAATTAGGGGAAGAAGGGGGTTTTCAGGCACAACGACTCAAAGTGAAGAAAGATTGAATTGATTGATGCGTTGGAACGAAACAACTAAATCCTATTTTAAGCGAAGCATCAATATCTGACTTTTTTTTTTGGGGTCTTATTTTCAAATTTCTGATTTTTTTAGTTTGGTTCAGAATAAGCTCATGGGGACAAAAAGACAATAACGCCAGTATCGTTGCACTTTATAAGTTGCCACTTGCCACTTGCCTTGCCACTTATCTTTGCCCCTCATCTGGGCAATCACCCACCCCAACCGGAAACTTCCGTTTCAGTCCACGGAAACCCTCTACTACGGCACCCTTTTATTTCTATGAATAACTAGCTTCTCAACGAGCGCTTTAACCCGCGTAAATATGGCACATATTCTAAACTAGCCTCTTAACACTCGCCCGCCAATGCATCAATCTAAATTGTGTATTATTATTTGGCTTAAATTTATACTAGTCGCTTGGCGCACACGTAAGAAATTTTTTTTTGTTTCTTATTTTGTTTTTTTAATTTTAGAACGAGTTTTATAACTTTTGTTTTAATATATCCAAAATACTAGCTTCTCAAAATGCAGGACATGTTTTTATTTTATTTTATTTTATTTATTTATTCTTGCATTTAATATTTTTAATTGTATAACTTTATTGCTTTATCCTTTTTAAATGAAATATTTAGTTGGGATCTTTTTCTCTCAATAGCTAGAAACTTACACTAATAAAAGGGTCGTCTTTTGTTTTACCCTAAATAATCACACTCCTTTTGTTATAAATTCATGGTTTATATAATCCATCTAACATTTATAAAGTTATTTGGTGTGTCGGAATTTTAGGGTGTGTAAATAAAATAGTCGTGGTTATATATCACATTTTTGGGCGGGAGACAACTTTGCATGACTAAAGTAGTGGTGGTTTGCTCAATCCTTCTTGATTTGTAAGCTTTGGGCTAAGTTCGACCCATGAGAAAAGAGCAACTTTGCATGTGGAACAAGAATATACAATATAATATAATATAATATAGGATTATTACAGGCATATAAATATAGTGTTCCTACTAGAGTAGGAGCATTAGAAACACTTTAGAAATTGTTTCTCGCTCTTCTTCGACAAACACTTGAATTTCTGAAATTTTTCATCACAAATATGTGCATTTTATCTAAGACCAAGTTACGAAATGTGTATATTCCACATGTCAAGGGAAGACACGATGCCATTTCAGGTACATGTCAAGGGAAGACACGATGCCGTTTCAGGTTGGAGGGGCGGCTGTGGGTGCTGTCCTTTGATGCAGGGAAGAAACTGGCTTCCTAGGTCTATTTGTATTAATAACACTTACCATCTGCTTTTCGTATAAAAGCAACTTGTCCTTCAAACCAGGTGAAATGCTACTTTTGGAAATCTGTAAGACTGATATGAGGCGCTCTAAAATGGTCCTGAACATTTTCAGTTTTTCAAGCTGCTCTGATTTTGGTTGTTGTGGAAGAGAATCAAGCTGGCAAACAGAGAGAACAACATATATGATGAGTATGCAAAAAAACAACCAATATTAGAAGTAACAAGATTTTGTAGCAAATAATATTATTGGCTTTGTAACTGAAAAAGGTAAAATATTATTGGCTTTGTTGGTGGGGTAACAGTCCCATGTAGACAGTATACATGGCTGGAATAAGTAAAATTAGATCCAGTTGGAGGGATCCATCATAGACCATCACCACAATATCCATGAAGAGAAAGGCTGCTCAATGGTAAACGTTAAGCAACAAATAGTATAGGGAAAAAAAAATGAAGTGATTACAAACCTGCTGAAGTTTAGTAGCAATTTTCTGATACATTTCACTTAGTTCGGGTAAGTACATCTCCTTCATGAATTTTATCTGCAAAAATCGAGTCAGAAAGGCAAAGATGATTAGAAAGGACTTTGTTGTAGCTACATACTTGCAGATACCATAATATCACCAGATTTCTTTGTTTCGTAGTAGCTCATGCATCTATAAGTTTTCCTGTCCAATGCTTCAAAATACAGTGCCAACGGAAAAGAGCTCATGCATGCAACAATGAATTTGGAAAGTATGACTTCATGCATGCTTGTACATAAGGTATGGGCAGTTCAGATAGAGCCTGAATACGATCCTACCAAGACAGCCAAACCTACCCTTACTTCCTTTTTAATAATATAGTGATAGTGAATGCAATCTTCTTTCTACTGAAAATAATAGAAAATTTGATTTTGTACCCATATACAATGTATATGTGTTCTGTAGATTCAGCTGCACCAAAATGGATTAAGCTGCATCCTCAACTTGTGATACTCGCAAGTGCACGAGCCGTTCGGTAGTA